TAAATAAGATAGTAAATTGCTGTATGTATTATTAAGAAATATAATGAAGCATCTAATCTTATTATCTTATTGGATAGGAAAATGTATGTGAGAAAAATGTGTGTACATTTTATTTTATGATTATGGTTGTACACAAAAATTGGCATACTGGTATTTTTTCGTCATAACCCCCAAAATTGTTATCTGTGTCAGCCTTAAAGGCCAATTGAAGACCTTGGCCTAATAAGGTTACATGCCACATTAAATAAGTTTTGAGAAATTGAGTTTTAAATCTGTCAAATACAAATTAAAAAATTAATATAAATATTACGAAAAATAGCGCCATCTTTCGGATAAGAGGTAAAATAATTAGTATATGGCTAGTAATACACTTGTTAACAGATGTTTTGAGCTAAAACAGTAACTTCACGACAAATTGTGGCTTGCATCCTTTTTACACCAAGTAAGGGCTTCAATTGACTTATGGACCTCACGTTTCAGTAGCGCGCTTTAGCTGCAACTCCTGTTAGCCCTCATTGATTTGCATTGCTTTTAAATATTATTTTACAGTATATTTGTTAAAGAGGATTTTAAACAAAACAAAAAAACAATGTATATTCTTGTGTATACCACATTTTCGATATGCATTACCTGAGATAAACGTTTATCTCACTGTCATAGGCAGAAGTGGTCTCAAAATTTCCCGCCTAAATAGCCACATAAAATCAACTAGTTTTTAAATAATTTTCAGAAATTAATGTTGAGGTAATTTCCTTTAGAATATACTAAAAATAGCAATTCGTTTTAATTTGTAATTTGTGTACAATGGCAGTTAAATATCTTGGTATTACTTAACGACTAAGAAACTCAATATTTGACATGGCAGTTACAACGGATTTGAACGTAACTGTTACAATGATCTAATAGTAAAAGTGATCAAACGCCATGACGTGAATTCATACTGAATTTAACATCCATATTTACGAAGCATTTTTAAATATTTGACTACGTGTAAATCCTTAAAGATACAAACATCAATTCAGAGAAAAAGTAAAGTTGGACGATGTACGGTGTCATTTTTTAATCACACTTTGAATCGTTACTTTCAAATAAGAGGTTATGTTTTCTTAAATCATTAACAAATTAATATATGGTAATATTTTTCTGGAAAACATTTATCAAACCGATAGAATAACATGTAAAGGATGTTAGTTTGACAAGATTAAAATAATTAAATAATAGTTCTTGAAATTTCTCCCAGCTCTATTAGATGTTCATTATAATGGCGTTTCTATATTTAAAGATTTACATGTGGGTAAATTTAAAGTTGCTTTGTGAATTAGCCTTTAAGGATATTAAATATTAATATTATTGCTTGTGTGGAAGCTAATATTTTCAATCCAGGCGTTTTCACCAACAAAATGAAAGCCATTCAAAGTAAAAATAAATAATTTCTATAAATAAGACGGCACATTATTTTATATGCAATTTCATTAGCAAGGAAAGAAAATACTATAAAATATCCAAGTCATATTTTTAAAAATGGCTCTTTACAAGCAGTAAATAAAAATTTGCTTTCGTCTCCAAAGAAATTTTTACACTATTTACATGTATACAAACATAAAATTTATAAATTGGATTCTTTATAGTCTTTTATAATATTTTTGTATAAAAAAAATATATATAAATCTACTGCATGAAATTTGAATGTAGAATAAGGTGACAATCTTCGAAAATTTGTTTATTGAAATTATGTACTAGCATGACGGCTTAGCCGAATATAATCATTTTGTTGATTTGTGCATTCAGGAATTGCTAGAGAACATCTCATACCACAGGCCGGTATATTTTCATTAAATCGTTATATAAAAACAAAGTTTTTAAATACAAATAAATACATTCCTGGTAAAAGAGTCGCACGAAAAAATATTGGTAATGTTTCATCTTCATTAACTTTTTAAATCTTAATTTTTTTTAGCAATACATTTTCCATAAGTTTAACAACTGTACTCCAGTTTTCGCTAAATATAATTTTGTAAGTATACATTTGAAACCATATGTTCTGTAATTTTTTTTTACCAAGTGTCCCTTATTATGCCAAATGATAGAGGAAATCCCTTTTCAACATATTATTCTTGTACTCTAGTTAGTCCAAAAGAAAACTTTAAAAAACCAATTAATTTCTTCTCTATTCTCTAAACCAGATTCTCCATTGCTCTCTGTGCTAATCATTTAAAAATAGTTTATGGAGACAGGCGGCTAGAGTTAGAAAAATTATTGCTCAGTAACAGTTTTACTGTACATCATCCCTAGTAGTAGCCAGACCCTTACAAAATTGATATTTAATATATAGGAGGGAGTTACTGTTTTCCAAAATAACCGTAAATTCGTCTAAAATAGACTAGAGGAAATAAATCCAACAGAAAAATTACTTTTAATCAAATCAGATTGATCTTCATACAAACTAACTTAACGACCATTAAGAAATATTAGAAAATAGCGACTGGTAAATCACAGAGGGAATTGGAAATTGATGGGGAATTGTAGGAATTGACGAGGAATTGTGGAAAATTATGAATTGTGAAAATTTACGAAATTTTCAGGGAATTACGGGCAAAGCTAGGGAATTAGGGGAAATGCCAGGGAATTACGGGAAATGCAAGGGAATTGCTGGGAAATTGCACACGAGTTGCTGAACAATTGCACGAGTTGTTGATGAATTGCTGGGCAAATGCATGAGTTACTGATAATTTCTGGGCAATTGTACGAATTGTGGAAATGCTAAGGATTGCAGAGGCATTGAGAGATAATTTTAAACGAATTGTGAGAATTAGACAGTAAATGGGGAAAAGGGTTTGGATAGAAAAAGGGGAATTGGATTTGGTGTACAAATTTTAGCATACGGTTAACCCCTCGGAAAATAGTCGAAGACCTTATATCCAAAAGAAGCATCATTGATTGTCAACCATAAGTAAAATCCTAATATTTAAAACTTAATTTGACATCAACTATAAATGTATTTCCTATACATTTTTCGACAATACTACGCGTCCTACAATATTTTAAACTCACATTTAAAAATGAAACAAAAACAATTTTAATAAAAAAAATATCTATTACATGTTTTACAACGTTATTGCAAAAAGCTTTGGTGATTCAAATTAACTTTTTGAACGGTTTGCTTTTTTTTAATTATTTTTTTTTCTTTGTTTCATTGGGATTGTATACAGAGTGATTTCTAAATTGATACTTTTTTAAATGTGTATAGAACTCATTAAAAAAATCATAATTTTCAAATAACTTTCTCAAACAACTCAATAATAAAAAAATAAATCACATGGATTTTGCTCTGGAGACCTAGGTGGACGCACAACTTTGTTATTTTTAAGTTTTTTTTTTTGTAAAGTTATATGAAAATGTTATTTAAAAAAGTATTAACTTTATTTAGGTTGTGTTTAAGACAACCTTAGAAACATTTATATAAGTGTTTTTTATTGAAGTTTAAGGGTCTATTATGTTGTCTAAAACTAAAAGATGCAACAGGTAATATTTATTATAAATAAATAAGATTGAAAATCTAAATGTCATGGTTTTGTAGATTCTAATGTGAAAATCGTGGACCATTACCTAATAATGTCTAACTTGTCTATCCAATTTCTAGTGTTGATTCATGTATTTGCAATAATATTGCAATTTAAATATTTTAAATATTAAATTTGTTTTAAAATAATATTATTAACCTTATCTCAGTTCAGGGAAGACAATCTAAAAAGTGTTCAAACTAATGAAGTACACATAGTATTTATTACGCAATAGACAAAAAAAAATTTAAAATTGCTTTCTTTACAACAGGCGAGACTGTTAGTAAATTATCAAAATAAAAATTAATTTTATTTTGATTTTAAATCTATATAAATAATCTCAAGATATTTTTTGTACATGTCCAAAAAAGTACATATCTTAGCCTAATCAAAATAGTTTTTTAATTGAATTAAAAAGTATACAGAAAGATTTGTCCTAAAATCCTAATAAACTCAATATGAACTATTAAATTGATAGCAAAATCTGAGAAAGAACTGAAGAAGGTAATACAAAAAAGGCATAAAAAATGTAATTCAAGAAACTCGAGCAGTATGTACAAGATAATTCATTATTGAAATGTGAAAATTGAGAAAAGTGGAGGAAAAATTGTAAATATGGGACTCAAAATTTGTGGAGATCAGAATACAGGATAATCTGGTGATCACAAAATAATAAAGTGTTAAGGCCACATAGAAAGGCTACACAGATTTGTTAGAATAAAAAGGAGACACTAAAAAAAATGAAAACAATTAAATATGTTGCAAACTAGAAAATATAAAAATGATTAAGAGACCAGCAAGATACAGAAAAGGTGAGGAACATTGTTGAGCTATGCCTTCAAGTTTTATATATATATGAACTGTTAGAAGCTTGTTACAATTATAAAATAATTAATTCTACTTATTACTATTTATGCTCTATTTTATTTCAAAACAATACTTTTATTCATTTTTAAGCTATAATGTGTACTCTTTATAGACATTTCGAATATTACTATAATAATACCCTCCTTAACAACTATGTAATTGTTTGTATGTGTAAAAATGTAATCACAAATAATGTGCGTAAAGAATATACTTGAATGAAGCATTTTTTTCAATCATCATATTTTTATATATTTATATATCATTTTGATAAGTATGTAACAGCAATTTAGAACTTTTTATTAGAATATAAGCAAAATTTTATTTATTTAGAAATCTAGATACTAAGAAACTGGAAGCAAATAATAATTAAAAAAGTTTTTGTTACATAAACGTGACAAAATCCCTAATGTAATAATAAAAAAAATATTGGACACACCACAAACATGTCCAAAATTAAAAGTTCTCTCATAAAAATATTTGCTTCCTTTAGTTTCTTAATAAAAAAAGTCTTCATTTATTATTCATATAAAAAAAAACAAAATCAAAATTTGATATTGTATGTCAAACTCAAGGTCACACATTTCACGTACTTGTATTTTACCTCTTAACTCATAACAAAATTACAGATCAAAAAGTCACCAACTTAAGTCAGAAAATTCACTGTTTAAAAAGGAAACTTTCCATTATTTTCTTTTTTGTGCTGTACTATCAATCAATATACAGATAAAAACTTATATTTGTTGAAACTGTTCTTTTTTTAACAAAATAAGTAACACATATTTAATAAAATATAGCCAGACAAATCAGTTCAGTTTTTTAACGTATCGCCATACTTAAACTACTTTGTGACCTGTAACAGTTTAAGGCTTGTTCGATACAATTTTTTGAAACTATTCCCTAATAATACACTTTTCAATTAACAAAAAAATCAGTTATAGATTCACAGTAATAAACAATCAGTATTTTGGTACATTATTGTTAGTTATATACTTTTTTTAATTAGATATCAATTGGATATTAAATCTAAATACTAAGAATATGAAGAATGCAATAAACCAATTTTTGAATATATTTGTACTACGGAATAGGTTCAAATCAAAGTATGGATTTCCATGAAATCAAAAAAAGTGAGTGACCTATGCAACATTTTCACTCGATCCCAGGAGAGAAGAGATCACTAGTAACAATAGAATTGTCCTGTCCCACATATTCGGGTCTACCTACAGAATTGAGCACCTCAACTTGAAAGGCACACGCCCATGACCGAGACCATGGGAGCCCTTTTTTTTGTTTGATTTGTCCTTACGAATTTCGCGAACTAACGTGTAGAAGGCGTCGTCCACACCCATCCTAGTTTTGGCTGACGTTTCCACAAATGGGATGCCATATTGTTTGGCAATCTAAAATAAAACAATTGGTTAAAATAATTAATCAACAAGTTACTAAACAAAATACAACTAATCAAATGCACCTTCTTTAAAAGTAAAAAATATATTTTCACTTTCCTGACCAGCCACAATAAATAAGATATTTCTCATACCTCAACAAAGTTTTATTGTAGGTAGATCTACAGTTACCAATTTGATGGTCTATCAAAAAACATTTTTATGAAAATTGATGCAATATATTCTGATTTTAGTAAATCTTTTGACTGCATTAATCACACTTTATTGTTATTTAAATAAAAAAAAACAGAGTTCAAATGGTGAAGATACATCCAATATGACGTACTGTCAGAGGTTCCACAAGATTTTCATTTGATACCATTATTGTTTTTACTATATCAAGGATATTGAAGATATTTTCCAATATAGTAATGTTGTACTTTTTGTTGATGACTTAAATATGTCCATTAATAGTGTCAATGATTGTTATCTTTTACAAAGTAATATCAAGAGACTGCATCTGTGAAGAACTGTATGCCACTTAATATTAACAAATGTTACACAATTTATTTTGGTAGAGGACATTTGATTACTCAATGGCAGATTCAACTCTTAAATGTGTTTAGGGCTCATAATTTGTTCCTCATACCACTGATGGACTCATGCAAAACTTTAGGTTTTGTCTTAAGGAACTGGAAAAATCTCTCTTTATTTCCTTTAAAACAGTTTACTTGGCTTATGTCCAGTTGATATTGGAACATGGATTGCCAGTTTGTTCTCCATTTTATGATGTACACATTAGGTCAGTAGAGTCCGTTCAACATAATTCCTGATATACTGTGCAATTAGTTTTAGTATTTGGTAAATATGTTTATAAAATTATATTAAACTTAATTAATGGATCTTGAACATCTAGAATGTTCGAAGGGTTACAGTACAGTATTATTTTTGCATTAAGTAATTTCAGGATCTATTCATTGTGAACTTTTTGAAACCATTTAATTTAGAGTAGAAGTAAGATATACTCTTCAAAATGATTTATTCTTCATTCCATTTCACAGAACTAATTAAGGCCTCTAAGAAGAATACAAAATAGTGCAAATTCAATAAATTTGGATATTTTGGTTATGTCAATAAATAGCTTTAGAAAAGCTGCAAGAAATAGACTCTCTTGATATTTTGAATAAATTATCTATTATTTAAAACTTGTCATTTGACTGAGTTAAGTGGTAATGTTTCTTTGTTTTAAAAATGATTGATCAAAAGTTGCAAATTATTGTATGTTATCTTTTAAATGTTTTTTTTGTGTATTTTTTATTGTAATGCGAATTTCCCAAAGATCAATTATAAATTTCTACATGAACAGCAATGAAAAATCAAATTTTTCATTCCTCATAGGAAAGTTATAGGTGGTGCCATATACAAAGTATTTAACACTTTAACTGTGGAAAGTGCACCAGTACGCTTTGCTTTGAGAATAGGGGGAAAGTGCCCTGGTGTGCTCTCAACAAATTGACTTTTAAATGCTTAGTTGAAAACGCCGTAGTTTTCAAAAATGTATCCAATATGTTCCGCACATACGTGAGTAAGCATAATGTTGGTGGTTGTCAAATATAATAAAAGTATTGCCTGCATACTATTTAATGCAACAGTGAAAGGTTTTTTTTTATTTAAAATTTATGGCATTGGCACAGTGAAAGGGTTAACATATAAAAAGTCAATTATTTTGAAATAAAAATCATTTATTGATATTTTAATTTTTAACCTTATTGTGCTGTCTTCATTTAATATGCAAAGGGTGTAAGGGTTGCCAGACGTCACACTTTTGACTTGATTGCACCGATAATGTAGGTATAGGTACTTACCCATCATATTGAAAATCCTTTAAAACTAAATATATTTTTAAAGTATGTATTAGTTGTTATAACTTCTCTATATAGAATATTTATGATGTAATGTGCCAGTTACTGAAGATCAGGAGTCAGAAGTGTTTTCAAACATTTTCAGTAGCTCATTATTTCCAAAAAAATCTACTAGGTAATCATATTTAAATCTATTTTTTAATTGGAAACACAAAAAAGTATTCTACATTGTTTTTTTTTTCAATGAAACAACGTAAAGGAATAAATTTGATTATAACTGGGATTTGTTTAAAAAAATCTTACCTCTCTGGCTTGATTCATATCTACTGCCCATGCAGATAAGTCACATTTGTTTCCAACTAGAACCATAGGAACTTCTTCTGCATCTTTAACTCGCTTAATTTGCTCCCTGTATGTTCCTATATCTTCAAAACTCTTTGCAGAATTAACTGCAAAAACTAATAAAAATCCTTCTCCAGTCCTCATATACTGGTCTCTCATTGCACTATACTCTTCTTGGCCAGCTGTGTCCAAAATATCCAACAGACAGGTATCACCATCTATCACCACTTGCTTTCTATAAGAGTCTTCTATGGTGGGGTCATATTCATCTACAAAGTGATTTTGGATCAACTGTATGGTTAAGGCAGATTTTCCTACACCACCAGCGCCTACTACCACTAGTTTATATTCAGTCATTTTTGTGTTATGTACAAAGAATTTTCTCCTGGGTGGCAGACTTGTTGAGTATTTGAAAAGTTTCTTCTAGGATTCTTCACCCACTGTCAAAGCATAATAAGAAATGAACACAACGCACCAAAAGTGAAGTAATTAAGAACATTCACACAAATAATAAATTACTTTAATTAATTAATAATTAAGAAACCACAAAGACCAACAAAAATTACAAAACCGTCACACATAAAATCAGAAAAGTATATTTTTTTTATTAATTTTATGAGATCACCAAAGAGTGACTTAGGGTTTTTTGTTGACGGCGTTGCCAATATAAACTTTAAAAAATCACTAGAGGTATTTTTTAGCGAGTGTATGGTTTAAAATATTTTCGACTGTTTTAAACCGTTTAAATTTTAGCGATGCAACTATGACGTCGCGTACGAAATATTTTAAACCAAAGCTAGAATTTTTGAACCAGTCGGAAGCATATGGTTCAATAACGGTTGACACATAAGAGATTCTGATTGTGGCTGTTGTATGTTGTTTTGTTCCATCTTTGAACATTTTGATATATTTGACGTTTTGTTTATTTTTATTGATTTTTGATAACTTCATACATATATTATGTGATTAATATTCATACATTAATTGGTTATAATGTTATAATACAAATATTAATATTTATGGTCAACATAAACAGTTGGACGATGTGATCTACCTATGGGTTACTCTTGATTATGAAACAATAATTCAATTAAAATAAGGTTAGAGGATTACTTATCAATTGTACGTTTTTTACAAAAATAATTACGTAGTTTGCTTCAGATTCTGAATTTGCCAGCAATTATTTAAAAGCAATTAAACGTTCTTTGGCGGTTGATGAACTTTGGAAAAGCCCAACAAAACTACAGCAAATAATCGTTAGAAAATCGCGTATCTGTGGAGCTACGGAATAAATATGATGCCATGTTTATTGAAAAGAAAAATACCAAAAATAAAATAATGAACAACGTTTCAGATTGCAATGTACCTATTAAAAACACTTCAATTTTTACTTAAAATCGCTATCAAACACTCATCTTCCTTCATCTGATTTAACAATCATTAAAAAAAAATACGAACGAAATCAGAATACCTACCTAATTAAAAAATTTGTCATATGACAGCAGATTAAATATATTTAAAACACCCTATTTTTGCCATCTATTAATTCATGACGTCACTTTAAATATGGTTTAAAAAATATTTTAAACCAATGTGGTGGCTAAAAAACAGCTTAGAAGAACGATTGTGCACGACATCAATTGAAAGAATTCCGAAAATTTGCCTAAATAATTTTGATCTAGTGTCATTTTTTTACTATTGGTATTCTGGTTCTTAATTTAACATCTGTCAAATCCTAGTCAAAAAACTTTAGGTTCTGTCAAATATGACGTTATGAGTTTGTGGATTTTCGTTTAAAGAAAAAATTATTACTAATTAGTTATATTGTTGGTAAATTGAAAAGATTAAAGTTATTGTTACCAAATTACCATTATAATTATTAATTTGAGATGACAAAGTTGTAATTAATACATTTTATAAATTTGAATATTCTAGGTAAGTTCAAACAAAAGATAAGTAATAAGTAAATGTGTCTTGTTAAATAATTTATTAAAGCTATTATTTTCTTTTAGATTACTTTTATCATGTCTAAGCAGAGTAATGATTGTTATACAGATAATATTAAGGTGAAGATTTCTGAAAGATATAAACCCCCTCCTCGTATAAATGTAGCTGTTACTTATGCACAGAGACTTACATTGAATAAGCAAATTGAAGACAATATGCCAAATTACGAATTTTCTTTAGAAAAAACTGTTTTAAACAAGATGGAAGAATGGAAAGGGATCAGGGCAGACTTAGTTCAAAATAGAAAAGATAGGTTAGCAAAAGCCAGGGAAGATATAAATAAAAAGAAACAGGAACTATCAGAAAAAGAGCAAGTAGAAGAAATAGAGCTTAAGACTGTCAATGAGGCTGATATGGCTACATCATGTAGTCAAATATTTGGAACAAATATAAATCAAAATTATGAAAATTACACAGTCAATAATATACTTGTCCCTACCCAAATTTCTAAGCAAACAAATATTTTAACACCTATTCCATTACAGAATTATAATAGTAACCAATCATACAGTAACCAAAATGATAAAAGTCCTTTTAACATCAAAGATTTTGAAAATGATACTTCAAGTCCTTTTGACAATATGGAACTTAAATCCATTAATGATATGGAGGAGCTTGCCCAGGTTCTTAATAAAGACAAAAAAAATCATGAAGTAAATACTCAAATGTATTCTAATTATCCCAGTGATAGAACTAGTTCTGTTCAACCAACCTATTCAAATTACATGAGCAATCAGTATTCATACAACATTCCAAACCAGACTTCGAATTATATGCATCCTGTAACAGACTACTCAAGAACTAATGGCTACTATTATGAAAATAATCCATTCCAGTCCCAGTACATGTATTCCAAACCAAGTACTGCAGAATTTTACACACCATTATCAACAGGCTCTGCAGATGTGAAGAAAACAAATTGTAAGAGTGTACCAGATATAGTAAAAGCATTAGAAAATGAAATTGAAAATACACATATTAGTTCATCTGTGCCTCAAGATTCCTTCATTAAACCAGACAAAGCTGTTCAGTCAGGCAGGCCTAAAAGTATTGACGCCATTTATCCAAGGCCAAAAATTAAGAATGAAGCCTTAGATGATCCATTTTTTAGGTTAACAAAACAACAACAAGATATGTGTAGGTCTATAAGTTCAATGGGATTTCCACTTGATAGGGTGGCTAGGATTTGTCAAATTATGGGAGATGATCAAAAACAGGTAATGTGTTTATTATTATTGAAGAGTTCAGGCAAACGATTTAGCTGATAATGCTGAACTTAATATCACAATTAATTACATTTATCAGTTCCCTATCAATTCTTGCCTTGAATTGGTTAACATTAGCAGCTGTTTCAGTGTCCTCCTGTAAATCGTTCCTTCCATTTATACACCACTCTATTATTTTTTCTTTTTAACCTGCTGCACCTTTCTTTCTCTAGTTTCTTTGTGTGGCCCCCCAGGTGACTGGATGTGCTTAGTTAAATCTTCATGGGATGGACATCAAAAGTTTACGATAAAGACTGTGGTCCGGGGGGACACCATGCTTAAAATTGGAAAAATGATGTAATTTTTCTTTAAAGTACTAGTGTATATAAAACAGTTTTATTAACGTTTTAGTATTAAGCATTTATTCGTCAAAAATCATCATGAAAATACTACATAATACCCTAATAACTAATATTAACTTGCTACATAGTATTTGAAATTTTTTTTTACAAAATATCTCCAATTTCAAATATTCTAGGTACAAAATATTATTAGACTTAACACATTTTTCCTGGAAATTTTCTTGGACACATATAGCAGCCACCCCCTGGTAATATTTTGTTGTTATGTCCCTGGGTATAAAGAGAACCTGGGATATAAAACTAAAGTTTAAGTTTATGCCAGTAATTAATACATATATTACATTTTATCAGAATAACACAAATTGCAACTATATGCAAGAAAAATGTTTAAAAATTCCTATATTCAAAGATGCATCAAAAACTTATATCATGGGGTAGCCAGTCCTATGAGGGTTAAAGATGTTTTCACATGAATATCCACTAGTCAACTTGAAAGATTCAATTAAGTTTCCATTAGAGCATCTTTTTCTTAGAGTAGTTTACTATAAATAATATTTCTTACATTATTTCTATTTTACTTGTGTATTAGGTTTCTATAAATAAAATATTTGTTTCTTATCTAAATTAAATCTGAAAAAAGTAAAATGTAAAATATTTTATTTCCTTTTTTATCTTATAAGAATGGTTTATTAAAATACTTTCAGAGCAATGTTTAAAAGTAAACATGTTGAGTCAATTTAATTAGGCTCAAGGCTAGCTTATGCATCACTGATTTTATATCACTAACACTTGTTTACAAATGCCTAGTCATTGATCAAAAATGGTCCCCTTTCAATTGAATATTTAATTGTGATATTAAATTTTTAAGAGGCTGTTTATAATGGACTATAACAACGCATCAGAATTTTCAATCTTGAAACAATTAATAATTGTGTTTATTTTAACAAGGAAACATTGATTTATCCTTTTAATTAAGCATTTAGAAGAAAATTGGGATTTAAAAACTATTTTTGATTAGATTTCCCGCCTAAATTAATTCTATTGAATAACTGAACATTGTTATAAAGTTGCCAAATATTTTTAATTAATTTGCGTTTTTTTCTCCTAATGCATAAATTACTTCAGTAGTTTGTATTTTTGTTCTAACTTTTAAATCTTATTTGACGTTTGTGGATGTTTTTAAATTAGCTGAAACTACTTTCACAAATCCAGGATTCATGTTAAATACTTACAAAAATTTTAAAATCAGTAAATTTTAATTGACGCTATTCTTTTTATTTTGTTGCAACACCACTTAATGAATTGTCTAGAATTGTTAAAAAAAAAAGAACAGACACCTAATTATTTTTCTATTTCACTCTTCCTACAATACACACAGAGATGGGAGGGACTAATAGAAAAATAAAAGTAGACATTTGGCAACAAAATTTAAATTTTCTAAATTTGTTGGTACACGTCATGGGACATACAATTTTCAACTATAACAATTATTTCTTCGGCCTCCAGTGATATCTGAATGGCAAAATTTGCTAAAGTACTGTATAAGTGGTAAAGTTTAAAATGGAGTAATAAAAAATTTTGACTGTTGTCCATTGTAAAATTTAAGCAAAGTCTACTTAAATTATTACAACTCACATAATGTTGCAACCATTGTGTTCCTACTTTTTTTATGATTATAAATGTATATAAATTATAAAGGTAAATTTAAAAGAAAAATGTTTTATAAATTATAACTGAAACGAGGTTCCCAACTTCCGAAACCATGCATTTCTAATTTTAATTAGATCCCTCAATATAATTAAAAACAATCTCTTATCCAAAATAAATTCATCCTTAAGGTGATTACTGCACCCCTTATAATTTTCGGGCATGGATATCACAAAAAGTAATTTTCTTAAAAAATTAAAATTTTGGCAAAATAAATTAGGCAATAATATCTAGAATATGCAAATATTTTAAAGTTTTAATTCCGTCCAGTTTCCGAGAAAAAAATAAAAGGGCATTAAATTTTGAAATATCAATGACAGAGTTGGGTAGTATCCAGATACTTTATGTGTATCCGAAAGCTGTATCCGGATACTTTTCAATTTTTGTATCCGGTATCCGTATCCGTGACCAAATTTGTAAGTATCCGGACACCGGATACTTTTTTCGGCATTTGGATACTTTTAAATTATTTATCACAATCGTAACTGATCCAATCCATATTATCTCTATTAAAATATATAATCGAAATACTTTGAACTACCCTGTATAATTAGAAATAAAATACGTATTTCTCAATATTACAATATTTAAGACATAATTGCAATAGGTACCTACTTAAATAAAAAATAGTTAAATAATTATTTTATTATGATTTGTAGTTTTGTTTGGTGCAACCTGTAAAATTGAAAATAACGCAAAAAAAATTTCTCATCGCCAAGGATGAATTCGACGATTCACCCAGTATACAGACGGTCAGGATTCAGCATCTTGCGGCACGTTTTTACAGGAAAAATCCTGCCAACCCTTGTCCGGTGTTAACGTCACGAACTTGTGGAGGTTCCATTAGCCCAGTTATGTTTCAGTTGGCAAAGACAAGAGACAGTTGTTCCTGTGTTTTTATATAGTGCAATATAACTAAATTTTCTGTATCAGTTTTAGTGCCTAACTATACGCAAAGGTAAGTAGGTGTAGGTACCTCGAATTTTTTGTTTTGTAAAATATCTAATTACATTATTAGTTCTTAAAATGTAGTCGAGAAAATACATGTATGACGTTGTTGCTCATAATGTTACTGATCATGTGTTATTTATGTCCTCCACTTCAGTAAGGTATACAGATCTGACAAGATCATATATATACGAGCCTGCTTTGCCTATGCCAGAACGAAACATTCAGCAATTTCTCACTCCTCCTCCTTTCAACGCTCTCGACTCTATCAAGTACCGCTCGTCGGAGGATCCACAAAAAATGGATTGTCGAATACATCTGACACTGACGAGAATATCGAAAGGTTGTATAAACATGGCAAGTCGCACCAACAACGAGCCTATTTCGTTAGATTTATATGGACACGACACTGGCTGGTTTTTGGCGCGGATCAGGCGCGACTCGTTTTATTTACACGCACCTTTATGTTTTATTGTTCATTTTGTTATAATGTTTTATATTCACAGAATAAAAATAATAAATAATTTAATGAGTAGTTTTTTTCCTGTTTCTATTATATCGCTTTCCATTTTCGATAATTTATTTATGCCTAGTATTGTTTATTGTTACTCGTAATCAATCTTATTGCATAATTATAACTATTGGTATGAAAACATTATTTTAACTCACTTTAAAAGTATCTGTAAAAGTATCCGGATACTTGGATCTGAGTACTTTTTAGGTGAAAGTATCCTAAAAAGTATCCGGATACATTGTAAGTATCCGTATCCGGTACTCGGATATTTTTTTCCTGTATCCGACCCAACTCTGATCAATGAAAATAAATGCATTCCTCAACAGCACTTTCTTAGTACAATCCCCAAATTTAAGCTCTTAATGTCTTGGTAATGGTTTTTTTAAAATTCGCCAAAATTAGTGGCTAAAAGGCCTCTTTAATGCTATCTTCTGGTGTAAATCGTTGCAAGAAACGAATGATGACTAAGAGTGTACGATACGATAGTTACAAGCGCATTACACCAGAAGGCAGCACTTAACGAGCCGTTTTAGCCACTAATTTTAGCGAATTTTAAAAAATCATTAACAAAACATTAATAGTTCAATTTTCGGGATCATGTTAAGAATAGTGCTCTTGAGGAATGCATTTATTTTCATTATGATATTTTAAAATTTAAAGCTCTTTGATTTTTTTTTCTCGGAAACTGAAAGGATTTAAAAATTTAAAATATACGCATATATAGATAATATTACCTCATTTATTTTGCCCAAATTTTAATTTTTTAACAAAAATTAATTTTTGAAATATCTTTGTCCGAAAATTATATTATATTCACCCTAAAGATAAAATAAACAAAATATTAAATCATGGAAAGGAACCCCAAAAGTTACTTTGTAACAGTTAAATTTGATTTCATAGAAACCTATTCTTTTTTAATATGTTGTTACTTTATTGAACGTTTTTAGATGACTAATAGGAAAATAAAAGTAGACATTTGGCAACAACATTTAAATTTTCTGAATTTGTTGGTACACGTCAGGGGACATAAAATTTTCAACTATAACAATTATTTCTTCGGCCTCAAGTGATATCTGAATGGCAAAATTTTGCTTAAAGTACTTTATAAGTGGTAAAGTTTAAAATGGAGTAATAAAAAAATTTGACTGTTATAGTCCAGTGTAAAATTTAAACAATGTCTACTTAAAGTCATAAAAAATGAGTTATGACTTATATTTCTTAATTTATCCTAAAAAGTTATATTTTAAAAATTCTATGGAATTAAAAAAAACTTGTAAAAAAAGTTCTAAACTGGATTTATAAACTTCTTTTAGTTCGAGTTGGTGAGTTCATAAAGTCGTTGGCCGTTCGTTCGTTGCTGCGAATTTTGACATTTGATTTGATAAGACATAATCACAAAATTAATTATATTTCGTTATTTTGTTTTAATTATATTTGTAGATGGTGTTGGTTATAAAATAATTATAAATCCGTTATAATTTCGTATCCAAAACAATGGGGACCTAGATGAAAATTCTTACTATTTATGACCCTTTAATTCAAAAAAAAATATGCTAAAAAGAGAATGGCTAAAGGTAATGGCCCCTACCGAAAATTCGTCTTGAAGCCGCCCTTGCCGGGTAGTTGTTTCACTCTCTATATAATCCCTAACCTTACCTACCTTTCTTTATAGAAATTTTAACACAAGTACAAACGTTTTTATAACTGTACTGTATATAATTTAGTGTAGCATTGGCCTGGCAGGTTCTTTTGCTTTACTAACCTACATGCAAGACATGGGAATCAGTAGTGAATCAAGCACTCATGAATGAGGATTCATCGTACACAGGAGCAAAAAGATGCTTTAGACATCATGAATGATAGCAACATCCTTTATGGACCTGGCATCGATGATTCATTGTGAGATAAGCCAATAAAACTCACTTATGAACGTTTTATTCCAAATTTTTAGTGTTCAAACTTTAAAGCGTTTTTCCCACAACTCACGTTTCCAAAGTCGGTACCCCTCATAACTTCAAAACTACTGCACCTATCCTTTTGAAATTTTGAGCTGGAGTTTTTTCAAATTTGTTAATATTTTTTGTTTTATAATAACAATTTAGCCTATTTTTTTTTTTTTCGCAAGAATCGCGTTTTTTACTTCAAAGTGTTCCCAAAAAGTGAAAAATTGAAATTTCGAAAAACCCTCCCAGCTTTACCCGGGGAAAACGATTGTCTAACGAGAGAACTTTGATTTTTTTTATTTCTGATAATCCAGCACCGAATTAGGAGCGGCACCGCAATTCTACTTTTTCCGAGACGCTTTTGAATAATTGCTGCCGTTTCTGTATTTTTTAATATTTCTACATGAAAATTTGACACAATATTCTTTAAATGTTATACTTTAATGTATCATTAGTTTAAATAAGCAGATTTTAACTGTGTCGTCAAAAAAAATTCACAAATATGCGCCATTTTTGCACGAATTAACCTTACTCCCCCGAAAATTTGAATGAAAAAATACAAAAATAGTTTTCTTTTTGCATAATTCTGATGCCATTTTTTTTTTCTTGAACGAATCCTCTTTGATCTCGTGTAGTATAGATGGACCTCCAATTTTGAAATTTAATTTTTAAAATGGTTTTTATAATAGTAAAATTTAAATGTCTACTAAAAATCATAAAAAATAGGTTTAATATATTAAATTTATTAATTTAATCCACAGAGTAGGTAATATTATATTTTTAATTATATTAATGTTAAAACATGTAAAAAAGCATTGAAGAAAATTACTTTATTACTTTTAAATACTGTTAATTTTTACAGGAGTGAGATGTGTCACATTTTTTTTAATGCCATCCTCTTTCTACATTTATCACATAAGGTGTAGACGTGAATATGATATAGGTACAGATTGTTAACTTACTTACATTGACTATTATTGAGAAATATATAATTTGATGTTTAAACCAAAGATAGAAAAAAAAAATACGTTTAGTCGCGCAGCTTGTTTCATTCATCTGCCGAAATTAAGTGGAGTTTTAATTTCTTATTGGTATCACTGACGGTTTATTTATGCTAGCTCATTCTACAAAATTTAGTGTAAGAAATTTTAATTATTTTTTTAGCACTTACTTTTTTTCTCTTTTAGGTCGTGGATCACTTGTTAGCGTTAACAGATTTGTTAGACTTAGGATTTTCCGAGAAAGATATCTCAAATGCTCTGCTCGAGAGTGACAATGACAAGGATAAAGCTTTGGATAAACTGATATCATAAACTTATATTTTTTTATGGCTGTGCTGTATCATAATTTTTATGCTGAAAATGTATTGTGATTTATATTTATTTGTAAATAATCATTTGTACCCACTTCAAAAGGCTGTTTTATATATTTATTTATAGTATATCTGGCTTTCAGAGTGGTTCGAATTCCACATCAGGTCATATCACTTTTTTAATAAATTTGAATGGTTCGTTGTGGGATTGGACAGTAATTTAATTTCGGTTAGTATAACATCCTGAGTAATATGTAAAATAACACCATCTATAAATCTAAAAACTATTTAATAAAATAAGACCGGTGATAAGGAATATAGGGTGCTGGAATTTGGTAATTTATTTTGAGTAAAACCAAGAAAAATCTAGTACAGATATATTTATTGAATTATTACAACTCACATAATATTGCAACCATTGTGTTCCTACTTTTTTTATGATTATATGCACACTGTAGGAAAATATATATAACTATATATAAATTTAATAAAGGTAAATTTAAAAAAAAAAATGTTTTATAAATAATGACTGAAACGAGGTTCTCAACCTCTGAAACCACGCATTTCTAATTTTAATTACATCCCTCAATATAATTAAAAACAATCTCTTATCCAAAAGAAATTCCTCCTTAAAGATAAAATAAACAAAATATTAAATTATGGAAAGGAACCCCAAAAGTTACTTTGTAACAGTTAAATTTAATTTCATAGAAACCTATTATTTTTTAATATGTCGTTACTTTACTGAACGTTTTTTGATGACCCATTTTTTTTGTATTTTTTGTAAATATAAAGCTATAAATATTTAAAAAGGTTAAAGCACGTCAAACAATGAAAATAATTTAATGCTACATTACTGTTCCGTATTTTTTTTGATCTAATAGTGTCAGTAATATTGGATTTCTCACACTAATGGCTTAGCCTGTATAAGTAAAAACAAATTATTGATAAAAAAGTTCAAAAATTATTAACAAATTTGAAGTAAAATAAATGAAATGTTACAATTCCTTGACAGATTTATAAATTCCAAACAATCAAAATAAAGAAATTGATCGATTTAAAGTAAATTAGATAAATTATACAGAAAGTCAATATTTACTAAATTGATAAAAACAAAAATAGACACTTCTGTTAGTCATACGCCGATATTTTTTAAAAACACCCAGTACAGTAATTTTTGTAATTAATTAAATATAATTAAACACGAACTATTATCACATTTAATATAAATTGTGTATAACAAATCAATATAATATGCAGACGAAAATACATATCCCTAAAAAATATATTTATATTGTATAAATAAAAAAGAAATTCGTAAAATATATGTATACTCGTAAAAAGAGGAAAGGGCTAAGCAAACTTCATAGAAGTAAAGATGACAATAAATATAAGATATTAATTAGACATTTGTTTTTTTTTACAAGGGAGTTTTGCTTTTTTTGGCATTGATTGGTAATTGATTTTTTTTTTAAATACAAATTAATTATTTCCTCGATATTTTTACAACGGCATATTGGTATCCCAAAGAAAAAACAATATTTCAAGTCAAAATTAAAAAAAAATAATTTGAGAAAAATAAATATTTTAGAAAATAAAATTCTAGGAAAAAAAAAACAAAATATCTGGTACCTGTACCATTTGAAAAATATCAAAGATTCGCATAAGTTAAAAATTTGAGAAAGCGAAGTTAAATTTTTTAGAAAACGTCAAACTTTTGAGGAAATAAAGTTAATATTTTAAAAAACTAAAATCAAAAATTTGGGAGACAAGAAACACAACATAAAACGAAGGATCAGGTACCTGTACCATTTTAAAACATGATAAAAAAATTGAGAAAGCAAAGTTACATTTTTTAGAAAAAGTAACAATTTTTAGAAAAGAAATTCAAAAATTTGAGAAAAAAGACAATTTAAAAAATATCAAAGACGATAAAAAATAACAGATTCGCTTCAAAACGAAAACTATTTTTATAGTTTTATTTTTATGCTAATTGCTCACCGACACAAACAAATGAATTGTCGAGAGAAGCAAATTAAAAAATCGTTGGCATCAAATGAAAATTCACTTTTTTTGTAAATTAGGATTTTAGTTCAATCTTCTAAGAAGCTCGAGTTTAGCTATTAACAACTAGATAGTGCTACAAAATTACATTTTAAGGTAAGTTCGACCTTGTCTGGAATAAGCTCCGGCAGTTTAAAACTTTTTCTTTCGCTTCCTGTTAAATTTACATTTTTTGGACCTACGCAATTTTTATATGAAGCTAACGAAATATTACGGGGATTAAGTCATCAAGAGATTTTAATCTAACTAGATTTACGTGAAAATTATCAAAAAAATATTGAAAAGACGTTTTTAAATGAATTACTATTCTTCCTCCATAGGTAAGGCGGGGATCCCGTGGATAGGGAGGTGTAGGGGTTTCTGCCCCACAAGTTTATCTCCGACAATGAATTTGTGTGGAAATTAGCAAAAGAACATCGAAAGGAACTTTTTAAATAAATTAAGATCCTTTCTCAATAGGTAAGGCTGAGATACAGTGGATCGAAGGGGAGGGGGTTGCTGCTTCCCTGAGCATATCTCTGACAGTTTGTGGGAAAATTAGCAAAAGAACATCGAAAGAACGTTTTTAAATGAATTAAGATCCCTCCTCCGTGTGTAAGACGGAGATTCAGCGGAATGAGGGAGCGTAGGAGATGCCAACAAAAAAAAAAGTGAATCGCCTACCCTCCCACCTACATAATCCTGAAGCCGCCACCACCATGTGTTCCTGAACTTGAATCAAGAGGAGCCTCTTTCTATTCGACCGTGACAAGCAGATCTTTAGTATTTGTAGGTGTTACGTCATATTTTTTCTCAATTTTTTTTTATATATAAAACTCGAGATTATTTTCTAAAAATTTGGACTTTTCATAAATTTGTCATTTTTAGCACTCTTACGCCATCGTATATTGTGATATGATAAAATATGTATATTTAGAATATACTTATACAAGATATTTTAGATACATATTTCATGCTCCTTTACGAGCTGTAAAATAATTTAAAATAATTTCAATTTCCAATCAATACAAAAAAATATACGGACCGAGGCTAATGCATGGAACACTCCAATTATTTCGGAAACGGTTTGTATATTTGTGAAATTTGTTTTGTGGGAGATTTATAATGTGGCCTATTTTCAAGTGGTAACTTTCATTTTTCCGAAAATATAATGACTTTGTTAATGTTTCCTATACCTAAATGTAATAATTTCCAACTCATGTTAGATTTTGAAATAACAAAGGTTATATTTTCGGAAAAACGGAAGATATGACAACAACGTGAATACCACTTGAAGATCGACCGTATTACATATCCTCCAAAAATCAGAAATATCGTAGAAGTCGTTTCCAAAATAATTGGAGCGTTTCATACATTAGTCTCACTCTGTATATACAATAAAATTTTAACGTATGCCAGTATACAAACTCAGAACCGATCTAGTCTCTTTTTGAGATCGGGCCTTGCTAAAGACATTCCAAAACCTGAGCGTTTCATCGCCGGCGCCTGTCACTATGGCTTCTCCGTCTGGAGACAGAGCTAGATAGAGTACTCTGTACGAATGGCCAGTCAGTTTCGCTACTTGCGTAAGACTCGGATATTTCCATACGAGGATTTGATTTTGCGAATAACCGTGTGTCGAAACTAGTTCAGAGCTGTGTTTCGACCAAGCCAGGTTGCAGACTTGGGAACCTGCAAGAAAAAATATCACAATCAGAGTTTCTTTTTAATTGTCTAAAACTATATTTTTTGTTGAGCTCAAAACATCAAAATTATGAGGGATAAATTTATATGGAATTCCGTGTACACATCTTGACCAGCATTTTTTTGAAAGTCACGGAATTATTTTGTAAATTGACGAAACTTAAGATGAAATTATTTTACAAAATTTAGGTTTTGCAAGTTCTAGAGACTATTCTATAGAGCCGAATCAAACTCGCGAAAAATCAGATTATAATCAATGGGGAAAGTGATCAATCCTGCCTTTTGCAGTTAAAAGAACCCTGCAAATGAAACAACCACCAAAGTATGCATTTTGCAGTTAAAACAACCAGCAAAATATGAAACCCTGTGTAAAAATATATTATGCACTCTTTTATACTGAACGGTGGTATATTGACCAAATATTTAAATAAAATTCTTAAGGTTGGCATTCGCCAATACAAATCTACCGTACATACATAAAGGTCGGAAATAAATTCTGATACTCAAATATGACAAATTACTAAGTATGGAAATTTATTTCCTTTTATAATTGCTAGTCTGATTATTCTGTCGCAATTTAAATTGAGAATTTCTATTTCTTGCTGATGAGTCCTAATAAGAAAGAAACTGTCCAAGAATGACGTTCTTTGAGTTTTTCTCATTTTTATTTATTTTGATTAATTTTAATCATGAAATGTGCCTAGGAATTAAGACTTTTTTTAAATACCCAAATTACTTCGACTTTTATTTAAACCACGTCGAATCATTTATTTACCTACGAATTTCCTTTAAAACTAAACATATTTAAACGTTTTCTTTCAGTTACAACCTGTGCGACTAACAGGAAAATAATTGAACACATCACACTTCAAAAATAATATTTAGTTTTTCTGAAACCCATTTTTAAAATAATATTAATGAAAAATACAATTATATTTAGGAATGATATAACGTGTGACATAGCGGGAAGTTATAAATTTAAAGTATTTTATCAGATAAACGGTTTTTCCGAGATATAGCCAGAAGCCGCCCTTAACTTAACTAAGTCGATATTACTGGCCTAAAGGCAGACAACATAGATCTCGTCGGGGGAAAAAAATAGTGTGTCTACGTAAGTTGGCTACATATGGAAAACTTTTTTATTATTAGTTTTATCAAATAATGTATTCTTCATAAAAAATTGTGCATGGTCTAAATCCTAAAATACACCCATTATATATCCAATTTTATAAGTCGTATACGAGGTTTGTCGATTTTTGGTCAAGAGTAAAGTACATTCATTTTTGACAAACCTCGTATACGACTCAATTTGATATCTCATGGTTTTAGACCATGCACAATTTTTTATGAAGAATACTTTTTTGAAAAACAGTTATTCTTCATGACTTAAGACCTAAAGTTCAATAATCAGTCGTATACGAGGTTTGTCAAAAAGGTCCTTTACTCTTGAGTAAAATTTATTTTTTGACGCACCTCGTATACGGCTCAAAAAATTTAATATGATAGTTGCCTTTTAGGTTTTAGACCATGCACAACTTTTTATGAAGAATAATTGTGTTTGATAAAACTAAAAATAAAAAAGTATTATTATTATTATTATTATTATTATTATTATTATTATTACAAACAAATTAGGGCTAAGGAATGAATCCTATTAAGCTAAAAATTACAAAGTTCAATAATAATTAGTAAATAAGTAATTAGCAAATAACATAATGCAAACAAAACAATAAACTTTTAGTTTTCCTTAAAAAAGTCTTCAAATCTGTTTTTGAATCCATTTGAATACATACAGCTAATTTACGTAGACACACTGTATATCTCCGCTGGGCCAGTAAATCAATTCCGTTTAAGCATTGTAAATACACAAAACAGAATTCAAATTCAAAATTTTAACAAAATAACATGTATTTTTGTTTTTTTCAGACAAACATCATTAATATTAAAATATTTCTTCAAGTAAAAAAAAAATGCAGTCATTTACAGAGTAGTAAAATAAATTAGATTTTTTTAATAGAGCACCCTTTATATTATTACAAATATGTAAAGAGCTTTCAAAGAAGAGTTCAGGATATGCAATACTATGAGTATAAAGTGAAAAGTTTCAGACTTCTTAATGAACTTCAGTTAAAAGCTGTCGTACATTGCAGTCTGTTTACTGCATGTCTATTGCTTGCAATTCAGTATTGCATGAAAAAAATTGCATGTCCTTCGTACACTGTAGCATGTTTTCAAGACTTTTTATTTAAAACTTGCTGCCAACATCGGGAATTGTGACAGTTTTGACTTTTTACAGTTGATCGACCGTTGCTGTTGATTATTCTTTCATTTTGTTTGTTGAGTTTATTGTAAACGAATTTTTTTTATTGTATTGTATTATTATTGTGAATAAAATGGATTTAGCCGATTTGGAAGACGCGGAGACAAAGCACTGATACCAACTTCTTTCATCTTTTTATTATCATGAGTGCCACATTAATTTTAGGTTGTCTTCATAAAGAGTCCTTAAAAGTTACCAAAATTGCACGCAATTGACCTTGAAAATTAGAAATCTTGCAACTAACACTCTGAAAGGCATCCGCAAAAAATATCTTTTTTTGAAGGCTGGCAAAATTAATTCTAATCGATTTACAAACTTTTAAATGGCACAAAATTTTTAAATCAGTCTTTCAATTAATTAGAAAATCTGTCAAGAGCAGAGCGGTGTTGCCTGTTTTCAAGAAATGCAGTTTTTTGAATGAGACATTCTACAGGACACATTAACTTCAAATAGTACTTTTAAAAAGCTTTATGATGATATATCACACTATAGGTCTGTTATGATTAGTTCAAGAGGTATAGTCTATATGTAATAGGGCTAGTCCGTTCCATAGTAGATTTGTTCCCTAAAAACGAGTTGTTTATTTACTATGTCTGGTAAAATATTCTGCCTCTTGCAGGCTATTCTTTAAAATTCTTTAAATTTTAATGTTTACTTCATCTTTTTAGAAACAGACAGCTTAATGTATGAAAACAAAGATACTTAAGAAAATACTAAAGCTACGGTTTGCTGGAACAGTGCGTGACGGGTACGCGTACGACTGAGCGATCGAAGTGGTTTGTTAGAATATAAATCAATTCAAGTTGTTCTGTTGATATATGCAGGTAAAAATAAGTTTACATGAATTAAATAATGCGGTAGTAGCGATTATTTTAATGAAAGACGAAGAAGAATTGTTTTAGAGTAAAAGCAAAAAAATCACTTCTAAAATTTCTACTTTAACACCCTGTTTCTTACTATCAATTTTTTATATAGGCAAGTTAGCTTAAATCGAGTTATTTTCGACCCCAGAAACTGTTGTTAAATTTGTTATACAGTAAGACAGGATTGAGATGGCAAGTTAAGAATTAGATGCACACTGGCAAATCTCAAAATGAGAGGACTCATCTCAATTAACACAAGTGAACACAAATGGATCACTGAAACAATAGCATCGAAGTTCATTAACTGATATAACTTCTCCCATTTTTAGATTTGTTAGAATATAAATCAATTCAAGTTGTTCTGTTGATATATGCAGGTAAAAATAAGTTTCCACAAATTAAATAATGCGGTAGTAGCGATTATTTTAATGGAAGAAGACGAAGAAGAATTGTTAGTTTTTTAATAGTAATGAGCAAAATCAAGCATTATCTTTAACTTATTGTCTTTGCAACTTTCTGCTTTTTACTTGATAAAGTGCGGGATGCTCCTTTACCATATTTTTGTTTTTTTCACCCTTTCAGACATCCCTCTGCTCCCCCAGACCCTCCCTAATCAGGCTGCCCTCAATCAAGCTTGGGTTCCAGTCTGCTTTCCCTTCTCTTGGGGTTCGCGTGGAGGCACTGAAGCGCAAATGGCCTATTGTACCATCATGTGCATGCCCTACTCCTTGCCATTCATTATACATTCATTCCACATTCTTGATGGTTCCAGTGGTCACTCATCCAACACATAACTGCTTAACTGCAGCCTTAACGAGAATTCACAATAGACTCGCGGCTAATCTCTCCAACCCTTTACTATATTAATATTTCATCTTTATCAGAAAAACATTTATTCCTTTAATTATAACACAAATGATCCCTAATCTTATTTCACTTGACAATCAACTGTATGCTCAGCTGAAGAGTGCGTCCAAATCGAACTCAAATTGATTTTGACGTAATCATTCGACGTACACTGCTTTCTGCCTAACTGTGCTGACTCGAAAAAACCATTCCCATAGTATTAACATTGTTAGATTTCGGAGAACGTGCACGGCGCTCAGGAGACTGACTTTTGCGTTGCGCACTGTTCTAACAAATCGTCTGCTAGATTTTTTTGGAGATTTGGCTTTAATTATAACTCAATCTAACTCGATAAAAACAATTGCATTAAAATTTGTAATTCATTATCCTTATTTCTTAGAAACTTGAACACTTTCAGTAATTTTAGGAAATATCTACATGTTTACTTAGCAGACAAATCATACTATGAATTATGTATTGGAAATAAGTCACTTTTAATTTTTTATATACACATCTTTAACAAACATATTATTATTCTCTCTATCTCTTATTGTGGGTGTGTATATAAGTTCTGCAAATTGGTAAATTTTAAGTTCTAAATTTAGTCACTAAATGAATAATTTAATTTCGTGATAAACAGCCTTGAGCTAGGAATACCAAAAGATAGCAAATACAATAAATTCTACATAATATATTAAATATAATATTCTTACCAGTATCCACGCACTGCATTGGTTGACCAGTCAAAGTGTTCCAGAATCTAATACACCTATCGGCTGTCCCTCCTCCAGAAGCTAATAACCCGTGGTGATGGGGCGACCATGCTATGGCTTTGACAGCTGCCAAATGGTCGGTGTAAGTTTGTACGGGCGAGAGTGACTGCATATTCCAAACGTACAGACGGTTGTCGTTGCCTCCTGAAGCGAGGTATTGGTTGTCAGGCGACCATTTGAGACCGCAGACTTCTTGACGGTGGCCAACGAGCCGCCGCTCAGTGACATTGGCTGAAAAATAAGGTTTCACTCTTTAAATGCTGGTCAAACGTTTCATACATATTCACAGAAAGCATGCCATCACTTTTTCATCAACTGGACATCATTTATTTGTTAGTATGTACTCGGGTTTGACTAATTAGTACAAAGTAAAAACGTGAAATGGCGAGAAAAAGTTGTATTATAAAGAAACTGAAGAAATTATTGGAAATATGGGTGATATCGAACACACATCTAATTCAGAATATGACGATGAACCTGAGCCCCCACAGAAAAATATTAACGTTATTTGAATCGCACAGGTAAAATTATAGAATTGAGAAAATTATTTTAGGGAATCTCAAGACATTTTATTTCATGATAAATCCAGGATTCTCAATAGAGTTGGTTCAAAAAGAATAGGAGACGAACAGTTCAGGAATCGAATAAATACACTGAACAGAATATAATCTAGGGGTTATGAAAAGACACATATTCAGATGAGATTTTGGTATTTTTGGGAATTCTAATGTGGATGGGATTAGATTGTAATCCCACTTCGAAGTATTACTTTACGCCCATATGCGCCATTTTAAAATCTAATCCAGATTTGCAAATCTCGTTTAAATGACTAGTGATTATTTTCCTATGCGGATTCTATAATTGAGTTTAGTAATCTGACAATACTAGAATTTTATAAGTTTCATAAAAAAAAGAAGAAGGAAACTTCAGATTTGAGTACGCATACCGAATTCTACTCAGGGTGAAAAAAATGTCAAATGAATTTAAAAAATTATTCTATAGTTAAATGCAATTACCATTATGTTATTTTTGGTAATTTTAACATATACATACAAACTGCTCTTCTATGCAAAACAATATACCTATGTGAATACTTTCCCTATACTGTGTATGCTCAAAACTAGATATGACATATTATCAGTATTTAAAAGTGGACAAAATCACATAAATATTATATGTATTGCTTACTTATTTTTAACTTTTTCAACATATCTGGATTTGCCATTTAACTACAGAATTATGCTATAACGTTAGAATATAAAAAAACTCTTAAAAATGACAAAGTTGTTCATTGTATACAAATATTCATTTCTCTAGTAATTTTGTCTAGAATCTCTGTTCCAAGAAAAGCTGGTATTATATATCCGCTTTTTATTAAAATTCAAATTAAAAAAAAAAAAAAAAACACAAATAGAAAGTTTCAAATATACTGACAAAACATTGACATCTTTTTGACGTAAGAAAATTTCGATCACATAATTTCATCCTCCGATATTGACGGATTAGAATAAAATCGGATTATGAATGATTATTACAGTGCATAGCTAAAAATGGTACTAAACGCGATTAAACCCTTAATCTGGATTGAACGTGTACGGTGCATAAGGGCGTTAGTAAAAATCTTCTATATAATAATTTGGCACAAGAATTACTCGACCACAAGACTCAGACTAAAAAGAAAATATAATTAGACTCCTGAAAGCCATGCAAAACTGAAAAATAGGAGACTTACTTAATGTAATAGTAGGATAATGGCGCCATAAGAGAGACATTTTATTTATGACACGGTTGTTACAGAAATGATCGAAGTAGAAACCAAAAGCAGAATTTTTTTATTTGTAAAGATCAGATCAAGTAGGTACATCAAAATAATAGTTGAATATTGCATTTAACTTGTCTGGTTTACCACTGCAATTTATGTTTTTGACAAGTAAAGCATCAGTTTTGCCATTCATAACAAAATGAAATATACAGATCAGGAAAAAGTTATACAAGCCATAGTACATAGGCATGACGAGTGCACAGTCATCTCTATACTTTGTGTACACCATCATCTACATACCTACTACCTCTCCTGCGTTTGATATTGTTTGCTTTTATCAATCACTAACGCCCATATGCACCGTTTTAAAATTTAATCCAGATTCTCAAATCTCGTTTAAATGACTAGTGGGTATTTTCTATGCACCGGCTAAGGATTAGATAATCGAGTTTAGTAATCTGACAACACTGGATTTTTACAAATTTCACAAAAAAATAGAAGAAGAAAACTTCAGATTTGAGTAAGAGAAATGTATGTAAAAAGATAAGAGGCTGTTTGAAGATAGAATAGAAGCCCTATTTTTTTAAATGTACCAAAACCGTAAACACACCGCATATTGAATTCTACGCAGGGTAAAAAAGAATGTCAAATGAATTTAAAAAAATAATTGTATGGTTAGATGGCAAATCCATTGTGTTCATTTTTGGTAATTAACATAATACATACAAATTGCTGTATTTCAAGCTTTTCTATTCAAAACAATATACCTGTGAATACTGTCCCTATACTGTGCATGTTCAAAATTAGATGGCATATTTTCACTATACACAAATAATATATGTAATGCTTACTTATTTCTACCTTTTTCTACATATCTGGATTTGCCATCTAACTATAGTATTATGCTGTAACGTTAGAATATAAAAAACTTCTTAAAAATGACAAAATTGCCCATCGTATAAAAATATTCATTTCTCTTGTAATTTTGGCTAGAATATTTGTCACCTACCTTCCAGGAAAAGCTGGTATTCTATTTCCGTTTTTTAATAAAATTCAAATAAAATAAATAAAAGAAACACAAATATAAAGTTCTAAATACACTGACAAACCGTTGACATATTTTTGACGTTAGAAAATCTCGTTTAAATAATTTAATCCTCCGATATTGACGGATCAGAATAAAATCGGATTAAGAACGATTTGTATTACGGTGCATAACTAAAAATGGTACTAAACGCGATTAAACCCTTAATCTGGATTAAAAGTGTACGGTGCATATGGGCATAAGCCGCAAATTTTAGCTCTGATTTTAGTAATGTATGAAATGTGGTGGGATGTAATTCTCTCTAATTAAATAAAGACAATATTTCTCTGATTGTAGAACTAAAAATTATTTGTAATTCTTCAAATAACTGTTGTGTAAAAAATTATTACATTATGGCTTTGAAAATAAAATAAGTATTCATAAAAAATGCTAACAAAAGTAAAACTCTAAAAAAATATAAAATAAAAGGCCAATCCACACAATAACAAAAAAGAATTATCAAAACTTAAAAATAACTAAAATGGCCAAGTACTAAACCTAACTAATAGTGGAATTGGCCGATTTGCATACGACCCAGAAATTAATTTATTACCTCATTCCCAGAATTTTCCCCAAAATACCATTTAAAAATGTATATCTTTTCCTCTTTAGTGTAAATCAAAAGCGGCGTTATAAAAATAAAATTGTTTGAACACATACAGCTGCTACTGCATAGGTTATCGTGTGAAAACCAAGCCGTAAATGAAATAAGAAATGAACTGAAAAAAAAATGTAGTCAGGTATTGTACATGTTGGCCGATTTGATTACGATGCTCTCCAACATGATACGATACCTCATGCTATAATTAATAAAGACGGGCTTAATTACATTGTATGGCTCATATACTTTTTTCCTAATCTGTATATATATTTACTAATGAAAAGGTCAGAGTTATTATTACTATATTATAAAGTGAGCAATATTTAACTTTCATAGACACCCTAGATTTGAAAAGAGTCTGAACGGCATAAATTTAATCCTTCAATACTACAGTGGGATTTACCCTTGTTTATTCAGTGTAATATATGAGAAAAGTCCTGTTCGTTTTTGAATATTAATATTTTAAATATTGGTACAAAGAAAAAGGGAATTCTAAAAACAATTTTCGTACAGTTATTTCAAACTAACCTAGATATAATCCATAAAAAGCTGATATTAATAATTATTTCAAAACCTAGTTGATATTATTTATAGTTTGTACTAGTTTCGAAATATGTTTATAAAAAAGAAATATGCACTAAACTTTTAAACAATTATAAAACTATAATGACAATTATTATTATTAAACATTTAACTATTCATGAATGTTATTTGTATAAATAATAAACAAAAAGGAATAGTCTGTGTCTTAGAATGCACCGAACAAAAATTATGTGTCCATTGTTTTACTTGCTTCTAAGTCTTTTTGTTAGTTTTTAACATACAAGATGATAATATTTTTGTGCATTTAATATTTCATTTTGTTCTTACGTATATTTTCCCGCATATTTTGTATTCTAAAATGCATCTTTTGGACCGATAATAAATATTTTGATCAACTGTAAAGACATGTAGAATGCCAAAATTAGTCTGAAAATTATGTTATTAAACAAGATTTAGAAAAAATAAATGAATCGTTTAAATGAACAAAAATGTAGATCCAATAAATTAGAAAACTATGTACCTTAACTATTCAACAAGAGATATAGTCATGTATTGGGACTCCACATTTCAAATGATAAATATGTTATTTTTATAACATGTCTATATTCGATGACTTCTAAATGACTAACAATTATGCAATTCTAATTAATTTCTAACGAATGCAATTCACATTAATTATTTTCAATGCTTACTTAACACCTATAACACAACATCACGTTATGTTTCTATGGCCCGGATTTTTTATTGATAATTATTATTGCTGAACAAGATAGTTCTTGTCGAAAATTGTCAATAATTTCATGCTGCATTTGCAAAACTAAACAATTTTAGATAACCTAATTACCCGATGTTAACATATATGATAATTGAAAACAATAAAAAAGTGATAAATATGTTTGGAAAACAATTTAGTTATTGTTGCTTATCAAGTTTAAAGATTGTCTATTCTATCATATTTTTTGACTCGGAATTAATTTTATTGGTAAAATTTGAAATTAAAATATTTTAGTTTGAAATAATTTTTTTTAAACAGTTTATTTGTACTCCATCCTTAAGTCTGCTCATGCAAAAATATTTTGTCCTTTACCCCTGCTCATACAAAAAAGTTAGTCCCTTTACTTCTTCGGCCTGCATATGTAAAAATATTTGCCCCTTAAGCCTACCCATGTAAAAGTAATATTTGTGCCCATTTCGATGCCAAAATGAATTTAGATACGAGTTTCATTCTGGAGTTCGTGAAAACTGTAGCAAAAATCATCGTTACTTCACTATCCTGTATTATTTGCGTAAGATCCACATTTATTTCAACTTAAATCAATTATTTTGACTTATCATTCAAATAAAATCCTTCAAAAGACGTTTAACAAGTTATAAAATTAATTTTAAAAAACCCGACTTCAAAATCGTGCAGATGCTATCACCACAGCTTGACCAAATTTATAGGGAACCACCCCTGAGGTGTCCCTTTACTAACAAAAAAAGAATCATAGAAATCGGACAAAGTGGTAAAGAATTATCGCTAAACATACATAAAAAATGAAGACTGAGGATCCAATTATTAGATTTTGACCAAATTGATATGGGACCACTTCTGAAGTACCCCCTTTCCAAAAAAAATAAGAATCATTGAAATCGCTGAACATACATAAAAAAAAATTACGAGGAATTGAGAACCTCCTCCTTCTTTGAAGTCGGTTAAATATGTTAAAAAAATTAGTACCCATGATGCAGTTCACAAAATAAGCTCTATAACATTTTAAAAACATTTATATTTAAAGCAGTAAACTTAAACCGACGATTTGGAAAATCAATAGGGGCCTCAGTTGGAAGAAATCAAATAAAATCGAAACCGCAACTCGACTGCAGCCTTCGTTCTAAAGTTATAGTATTGGCGCACATATAGACGACCAAACGATATTTTTTTTTTTTGTTTTTCGATCTTAGAGTGATCGTAAACGTGGAGAAAAGTGCTAAAAAGTGGGCATAAAAGAATTTTTCGTCGGCACGAATGCAATACTGAGGTAGGGAGCCTCAGTAATATAAGAAAAAACAAATATGAAAATTAATCAAACTTACGTGGTGTTCTAGTATCCCTTTGCAAAATCAGCCTATCCCTGCTTCCGGAACTGAGTACGTCACCGTTCCAAGCTAGCGCTCCAACTCTGGCTGTGTGTCCCATCAATTTGTTTACTTGTTTATTTACTGCTACGTCCCATACCGTAACGTAACCTATATGTGTACCTACGGCCACTAGATGGCCTCGTTCGCTCCATGCTACAGAAGTAACAACATTCCCGTCACTGGATAGATCACATAACCTCGTTACCTGTGGAAAATAAAAAAAAATCTGGTGTTAAAATTTAGCTGTCTATCAGTTGGGATCCGGAAAATGTATCGCCAGCAATTTATCGCTACAGTTTACCACCATAGCAATTGATTACATAAGCAGTTTATATTATACAATATTATTGATCGCATGTATATTTATCGCCAGGCAATACATATAATAATAGTTATTGGTCTTTTTAAATTGAATACAATTTTATTTATTTATAATTCTGCCTTAAGGACATAATTCACAAAAAATTGAAGTGCCACTCACATATTTATAATTAATTACTATATTAAATCCTTAAGACAGATGTACATAAAACTTCATTATAAAAAGAACAATAACTGTATATATAAATTATTATGTGTATTGCGATTGCAATTATTGTAGGCTATAAATTGCTTACGTGATCAATTAATGTGGGATGTGGCTGTATGCTAGTGATTAATTGTGGTGGTGAACTGTTAGCGATCAATTGTTGTGGTGGTAAACTGCTGCGATCAATAGCAGGCAGTAAACTTCCCTAGACTTGTATCAGTTCTCACCTGGCTGGTGCAAGCTGACCAAAGATATACGCAGCTACCGAGTCCAACGCTGAGGACATTCTGAACGGACCAGTCAACTAGGTTAAGGTAGAAATCGTCTTGCAATTCAGGAGCGTCCAGCACTTTGAATGGAATCCTAGATATTTTTCTAGTTGCTTTATGCGGAGATCTAAGTAACCTTTGACTACTTGTACTAAGAGGGGATAGAGAATACGGACTAGATTGCGCTTTTATAGGCGTTTTATCGTTCTGAAAATAAAATTAAAATAACATTTAGAAAAAAAAAAAAATGAAATCAATCATCAAAAAAACACTTATGTTATATGCATACAGGCACAGAAACTATTTTACAATGAGGTATACAAGGTTTAATAGAAATTTGTCTGATGTGCAAGCAGAAGTCATAGTCGTTCAATGCTTGCTGACAGTTATGTGCACATTCCCATTAAACTTATTGGAAGATATACTTTCGGTGTTGATAATTCCATACTTGTAGAATACAATTTTTGGAAAAACAACTGTTTGACAAGAAATAGCAGTTTTTATTTTGTTGACATTTCAGAGCCAACTTTCAGGTCCATTTGCATCACTAGTCGTTAAGAAATAAGCTAAGCTTAAAATGACATATCTCCATTGACAATGTCATTTTAAGCTTCGCTTATTTCTTAACTACTAGCGGTGCGAATGGCTCTCACTATAGTAGTACTTATTAAGCAGATGACTTATATAATAATAACAAAAACCACCTTAATGTTAGAAAAAATTTAAATTGAAAATTGCCGAAAAATTCAAAGAGAAAAATGTACAATTCGAAATGTCCATTGCTCCCCAATTGAAACGTTTATGATCGCAACGTGCTGCAATAGTATGGTGACAAAAGCATTGTCATTGTTTTTAACATAAAAGTTTTAAGTTTATTAACAATATATTATTTGAAGATCGTAAAAGTAGTTTAAAGGCACGTTACTAAATTATGTTTACTGTAATTATTGAACTGATATGCTTTTAGATAAATACAATCTTGAAAATTCGAAAGAAAATTTAAATTGACATTTAACCTCTATTTATTTATCGTTTTACATAATTGATTTATGTTCTCTATTTAGGAATATATTTTAAGACCTAAAATCACTTAAATAACAATTCGATTCTAGATATTTAATCTATAAACAACTTTGTTTGGCTCATTTTTTACGTCATTACTAATCCATTGAACAGAAAAATCATATTAACAATGGTCAGTTTGACATCTGAACAATTATTAATTCTGTTGTCCAGTATTTTAAACAAGGACATTTAGAAGATATTTAAAAAAATGAATATGCTAAAGATATCTTGCAAAAGGCATGTCCTTCTTAATACACATCTAATAGAAACAATTAATCGTAAAAGAAGGAGACTGCCTAAGGACGTGGTAGCAAAGAACATAAAGATGAAGAAAGGAGATATAATAGCGAAAGAAAATGAACGTGGAATAACAGTTTTAAACTGAAAAGACCAAAGAAACGTATTAATGATGTCCACGAGACACTCAATAGAGCAAGAAGAAGTGAGATATAGAGGAACAACTAAGCTAAAACCAAAATTGATTTTAGATTATCATAAAGGTAAAGGAGCTGTTGATATTTCCGATCAAATAGGTGCCTACAGCAATCCTTTCGTAAATCATTAAAGTGGTACAGAAAACTAGCTTTTGAATTACTACTTACCACTGCAGTAGTAAATGCACATAATATGTGCATATAATATTATTATATACAAAGAAATCCATAACTGATTTTAAAAAATATCTTGTAGAGCAATTGACATGTAATCTCGAAGATGTTCTATTGACTACACCAAATTTAAAACATCATTTACAAAAAAAAACCCGGATCAAGTCATATAATAAGGCGTGTTTGTTCTAACTGTTATAAAATAATATCCCAAAGAGATAGAAGAAAAGCAGCTCAGAATAAAACAAAAAAAGTAACAACGTTCTGTTCCGGGTGTGTAGGAGGACCACCAATATGCTTAGACTGTTTTAATTTGTTACATTAAAATATACTCTGTTTCAGTTTTATTTGTATCGATTTGTATTTACAAAATATAAACAATAAACACATATTACTCGACCATACATATTTTTTTGACCCAGGGACCACATACATATTTATGTGAACATAAATTTCGCGGCCCACCCTGGACCCTGACGGTCCGCTCATACCGTTAAACATATTGTAACTATGGTTCAACGGTCCACACAGTCATTTAGAATGAGGTGTGTTATGACGGTCCCCACGGACCAACAAGGTCCAATTTCAAAAGTCATTGACGGTCCGTAAGGACCGTCATGGCGCTTAACGTGTTAAGGCGTATTAGACTGTCCTGCATCTACTTTATCTGCTACAGAACTACTTAGTTGGACGCGCTCAATTTGTAGAGTTTAGCCACTTCAGTGAACCATTGGTGTCTGGACAATTTTTTACAATAATTAAACATTTCCAAATGTAAAGTTGTTTCCTTTTCTCGTCAAAATTATCCTTATGAATTCGATGTGAAAGGTGTGCTACATTTAAAGATCTTGCTGTTAAATTTTGATTCAAATTTACTTTTAGTGAGCATTTTGAAAAAGTAATTGGTCTAGTTTTGCTAATGAAACTTTGAAATTGTTATAATATGATAATAATTACGACAGTCTTAAAGGCTTATAATTAGTTAAAAAACTAATAATTAATTTTTTTGTAACTTTTTTTTTTTTTTCATTATATTATTTGTATTTTCTATGTTTTTCTGATATGTCGGTGGAATTTTGGAAACCTTTATTTTCAACAATCTTGACGTTCGTATTAACAAATCATTTTTAAAAAGTTACGTACATGTAATTCCTTAAAGACAGAAACGTCAACGTCATATCAGAGAAAAAGTAGAGTTGGACAATGCGATGACACGATTTTTCAATCACAAATGAGGTTTTGTTTCCTCAAAGGTCTTACATGTGGGTAAATTTAAAGGTGTTTTGTGAATTGGACTATAAGAAGTTGTATCAAGTATTTTTATGTGTGTAATATTTCTTTCTGAAACTTAACGTATCTTTAGTATTTCTAAAAAAAAAATAACTATTACGTTTGAGAAAATTTTGGTAATTTTTTGTTGGTCCACATTAATATTCATAAAGGCAATTCATAGTACAAAAAGAAAATATTTTCGTGAAATTAATTTAGAACCGTAGAAATTATTCTCACTCAGCAATTTTGTCAAAAAACAAATCATTCTTATTAGCTTAGTGGTTTTCAATTTTAGTTACACATCGTATAAATTCTAATGCCGTTATCCATTAGTGAGTAATACTGGAAGTACTTCCTGTATGACCTTAAATTTATACAAAGTTTAAAGTGTAGATACCTAGAGTATGTAGGTAACGATTACTTCTATTTCCGGTAGGCGAGTTATTTTTATTTTTTTACACTGAGTAAGACGATACATCTGTATCTATTTAGTAGTAGTTAGTAAGATTTAAATATAGATTTATTTTAATATAATAATGTTGTAATAGATGCAATGGCGTCGCAACGAGGGAGGGTAATGAGGGTAATTACCCCCCTAGGAAAATGTTGACTTATACAAAATTTAAAATAAAAGATAATATCGATATGTGTTTCCATTCAATTTTCGAAGAATTCAAAAATCTCCACGAAAAATTGAACAGTTCGATACACCTTTTCTAGAGTAAATTTAAGAAAAATAAATAAGCAAATGTTGATACTAATAATACCGAGGAATAATACAGGCAGTGTCGGATTGAGTCAAAAGAACGGCAGGCCCTCGTCCAAATAGTGGGACCCTTTGTCCAAGAAGTGGGCCCTCGTTCAAGCAGTAGGCCCTCAAAAAGAACGAAAAACCAAATACGAATAAAACTCGTAATGCAAAAAAGGCATAAAATGTATGACAAATTCCATAAAACTCACTGTTAAAAAAAATTAATTTTTACAAGCCATGCAATAAAATCATTTATTTACTTTAGTTTTGTTAAAAATAAGAGAATACGGACATTTTCATTGAAACGAAATTTCTTGCGATGCATCGACGTAAAGATGGAAATTTTGGTAAGAAACGCTATAAATAAGGACATAATTACTAATGTAAATACGACCCCCGATATTATTAAGTTCTTTACACGGCAAATATGGAGCCAATTAATAAAAGTTTGGTTAAAATACATATACTCTTATAAATACTAACAATCATTATAAGCTGATCCATCCCATTCTTCCCAGAAACATCCCTCAGTAGGTAGATAATATTCAATATGCATCACCCAAAATGCGATTTAATGACAGAGAATTCCTCTCTCGCCTTTTTAAAATAGGAGTACTAACTTCCCCTAACTGCAAACGTGATAACATTTCCGTGGAAAATCAAAATCATTTAATATTTGCATGACCCAGTCTATGACTAAAATAGAAACATACGTCGGTATACAAGAGAAGGTGGTCAAGTCAAAAATTTTACATTTTTTAGTGTGTAATACGATTGTATTTAGATAACCTAGTAGAACAATCCCAATGTAAATTATCTTGAAGGACAATGGACAGTACCAATAGATGGCAGCAAGCTCCGACGCGTCCAAGTCATGTCTTTGATAATTTTGTCGTCTGCTACCGAACTCGAACGGTTGTCAAAACTGAATAACGAACGTAATTTCTCTATTTACTAATAAATGGACCAATAGTCGATTAAGTATAAACCGAATATTTGTTTTAAAAATGAGATATACGAGTTTTATTATTTTTGATGTACATTTATTTACGATTTATCATCATTTGAGAGAATATAACAATATTAATTTAAATTTAACAATGTACCCAAAAGAATTTCAAAATAAAGAAAACTTTATGAATAGAGAATTCTATACTCAATGATCGAGGAAGCGCTAGCACACGATCCATTTTGTTCTGTACGGTTCTAACAGATGTCATTATTTTCAAATAATCGATTTCCTTTAAAATCATTATTCTATTATATTTTAAAAATCGCAAATTATCAATTAAACGAAAATAATCGATTAATTAAAAAAACCGATAAATCGATTTTTCTAAAAAAATTACCGAATTATCGATTATATAAAATAATCGATTTTATTTTCGTATTTCCTTTAAAATCGATTAGTTGCTTAAGTTTGAAAAATAAAAAAATACGATTAATCGAAAATAGCCGATTAATTAAAATTACGATTAGCCGACAAATCAATTTTTCTAAAAATTAACCGA